GAATATCCATGCATGTCCTTGTGGCATGTAGGAAAACATCCAGTGGTGTCCAAACTCATGTGCTCCTGTAGGTGGAAATTAAGAGTAGTTGCCTACACTTAATTTCTGTGTATCCTCATGGCACTGGGAGGCCTGGAGTTTATTGTAGGAGATAACTGCTGTTGGCAGTTATTTACAATTGAAGCATATTAACAGAGGATGCAACACAGACATTCTTTCCTAACAAAGCAGTGATTTGTAAACCTCTATTAAAAGAGTTGACAGTGTTTTCCTGAATAGATATTATAAATGCTATTAAAAAAAATTTTTGATAAAGAATGGATGTTCCTGGAAGCTGGTACCACTTATTGACCCCATACCTCTTAGTAATTTGTATTTAGTTATAAAAGGATATATTAAACTGTGTTTGCTCATAGTATAAAATAGGAGATTGCTGCTGATAAGTATGCTTAAAATAAGCACCAGAGTGGTTCTTTTCATTCCCTACCTTTAATAACAGACTATACAGACAAAAGTGAATGCAGCCAGTCAAGCTAATGGCTGAATCATAGCAACAGCATCAATTGATTTGTTTCCAAGTCTAAAAAAAAACTAATAAAGACTTTGCATGATCTCCTAGATACAAGAGGATTATGGTTAATGTCTTAAGCCTGTCCTTTAAGCTCAAATACTCTTTCTGTGCTCAGATGCTGCCTACTATCTCTTTCAGGTGAATTCTATTTATAAAAATTGATACTGAGTTAAGCTGGTTGAAACAAAGGCACATTCCTCTTATTAAACTAAAGAGAAGCTATCAGCATTTCAGAACTGCCACAAGCCATACCTTTTACCAGTCAACAGCAGTGCACTCATGCGTGCTTTGCAGTGTTTATCACTACTGTTCCTTTTTGTTCTTTCTAGCGAAACTAATGTGTTGACCTAGGAAGTACTGTGCGCTAGAAAATCTACCACCAAACCACTCTTATTTCTCACATAATTTGAAGTAAACAATTTTTTAATTGCATTCAACCTGTTTGCAGAATGAGGGACTGGTTTTTTGTTCTTGTTAGTTGTTGTTTGAAATTTTTCAAAATAAAAAATCTATTTTCTTGAGTATCTATTTTTAAAATGCACTGTGTACATTTGTTCCAAATCCCAGATCCTGAGAAACTGTGTGTTTATCATAGGTCTTATGTATATTTTAATCCTGGAATGCTGTGCATACTGTAGTTCTAACCAATTGTGGTTTGTGGAAAACTGATCAGTGAAAATGTCATGAAGCATAAAACCTCAAATTGTCCTCACGTAAACCCTTAACCTTTGCAAATCTGTAATGAAATAAATTCATTTTGTAGTGCAAATAATTGAGCTTGGATCAGGGGTTTGTTTGCAAATACTTTACCTGTTGCTCTGAATACAGGTAGAACACTTTCTTTTGTTCCAGCTAAGTAATTCCTTGCTTCCTTCCCACAAACAATATATAACAATAAGATACTCCCTTATTTAGGAGTGTCTGTAAGCAACTCACCCAGATGCTGAATGCCACTACAATGCCACGAAGCTTTTCCTTGCTGTGCATGGAATACATATTCATCCTCCCCAGAACCACCTTTCACAGACCATTTCTGAGGCAGAGGAACTGTATTAGCAGTTTGTAGGTTTAACAGAAGGCCTTTTTGTCTGCTCAAGGATATGAGTTTGCCTGGTGGGAGGCTGTGCATGCCTGTGTGTTGTGTCATATGCCGTGAGGGGCTTGTGGAAATGTGGGTTATTATGAAAGGACATTGCGCAATGTGGGACCGAGTGGCCGCATGGATTTCAGCACACGCTGAATCTTAAATGGGACCTGTGGTATTAGTTCATTTCACCAGCTTTAAAAACCTTTACCACAGTGCTAGCCAGCTTCTGCTATTTTTATAGCCTGGGAGCCTTCCCAAAACATAGCCCTGGGGGTACATGTGCGTTATGCTCCTGGAGCAGTCTGTGTATTTGTGAGTTTAAACAAAAGTCTTTGCTTGACTGTGTAAATTCCTTCAAGTTTAACATCCATGTTGACCATAACTTTCCTGTGTTTTTCAGCTCTCTGCTGTGAGTGCAGGGTCTTTTAGAAAGTGGTTATATTGGTCTTTAGGACGTCAGGAACTTTTCTACAATCTTTAATATAAAGAAATATATGGTGCATGTAATTAATTTTAGTAATTAAGTCAGCCTATCAAGCAGATGAATCAATGCTCATTAGCTTACTAAAGGCATGGCATCGGACAAGTGCATTTTCCATGCAATCACCTTGTAGAAATGAAATCAAGACAAATACTTATGAATGATGAAGTAGCATTTGCCCACTAGCTCCCAACAGGGAGGATTCATATTCCCGTAGACTGGATAAGGAACACAGTATACTATTCTATGGGAATATGAATTCAAAGGACAGAATTTTTTATATGTGAATTTAAGAACAAAACCTAGTCCTAATTTAAAGAGTTACAGTGCAAGTTCCATGTTCTCTGTTAGCATACCTTTTAATTAAAAATCTATCTTTCTGCTGTCAGTTTGCATCTTGTGATATTCCTCTAAAAGTTCTTATTCATATTATTATGCCATCATTTTATGTGTATCATGGCTACTTTTTTTAGTATTATATCTGGTAATGTGTTGCAATTTCTATTGAGCATAATACTTCCTATTATATGTGACGAATACTATAGCACTATTTAACTGAGTATTGTTTTACAAAGGAGTGGTGGGTGTCATTAACTAAAGTTCTTTAAAGAAAAAACAAAAGGTAGACATCTCTGAAATTAAATTTCAACACAGGTTTCCATCATAAATCTCTGTGCTGCTACTGGGCTTTATATAGGCTTTTATTGGAAGGACAACAAAACAATTCTGACTAAGGCCTAATGAGCATTGTCTGGCAGGAAAGGCATAGTACAGATGTATAAATCTCAGACTTATTCTACTTACGACTTCCTGAGTTCAAATAAGTGACTTTATAGAGCAAACTGAGAAAGGGAGGGAACATCATAAAAGCTCTGTGGATTTTGATGCTCATACAATGTAAGTCCAGATTACACATTGTACTAAGCATCAACAATTTACATTGAAATCAATACTGGTATGTAAATCAGAGCAGTGTTTGATTGATAAGAAACTCGAAGAGAATGGTCTGCAAAATGAAATGCCAGGTGATCTTGTGAGAAGACACTTGGGTCAAAGCAAAAGGATCTCTGAAGGGGTCCTCAGGTTATGACATCTTATTTCACAGTAATCTCTCACTGAGTGTCAGTCCTCAGATGTGTGTGCATTCTGTGTTTGCACACAGCAAACCCACACTGCAGATGTGACTGATGGCTGTCACAGCATTGCTGCCAACCCCTGTGGCAGCTCATGCCACACGCCACCATCCGAGCAGGCAGACACTGCTGTTGCACTCTTCCCTTGTGTGTGCAAGTGTAATAAACCAAACCTGCTTATAGCACAATCTGCAGTAATTTCTGGTACCTTGGTTTACTTTCTGTCAAGCCAAGTAACCCAGTCAGAGAAATTTACTAATACTTTTAACCCAGTCAAAGCATTTTATGAAGTTCAGTAAAATTCTGTTAAATATCCCACATTGGTTTTCATCCCAGCAGTGTCTGTTTCTTTCTGGCTGTGGTTCTGGTTGGGGTTCAGGACACTGTGCCATACAGGACCCAGCTTCTTGTGCAATCTGAAAAGTCTGTGAAGACGATTTGAGTTCTGGCATCAGAATATTCCAGTGTTCCATGTTTAATTTTTGGTACTTGCCTGTCCTCCATTGTTGGCCACACTGCACCATTGTCCTTTGGAATGTGTCAGATGGTTAATCCTTCACACATCAGTGGCTCTTATTACACCATACACTTGTTTTCTCTTAATAAACACTAGTTGAGGACTAAACCTTATGTATTTTATACTATGAAGAGTAATACATGATTTTACAGAAGCAGACACAGAGAAGTGACACAGACAATATTACTTTATTTGTTATTATAAGATTCCCTGTAGTGTGCTATTTATATCACAGAATAAGTTGTTCTCTTGCTCTGAAAACCTTACTGTCTTCTTAAAATGTATCACAAGAGGCAAGATTATGAAAAAGTTTTTTTAAAAAGGCAGTGTAAGGTCTTAAAATTGTAGGAACTCATGATTTGCACAACTCCTACCTATTTCTCCATCACTGCTTTTGTGACTTAGTAGCAGAATTTATAAAGAGTATACCCAAAACCATCACTGTATACAAGGAACACAAAAATGCTCAATGCTTCTTACACATTAACAGTATCTGTTATTTACAGATGGATAAGAGGTATGTAAGCTATTTCTGTTATGTTACCTTCTGCTGGGACCAAAGAAACCTAGTCTCCCTTGGCTGCATAAAGCCTCAAATTGACAAATAAAATGGCTCTTTCAACTATGCAGGCATAGTTTCACCCAGCCTTGTGGCTTTGCCTTCAGAGAGAACAGGGAACAGTTGCTACAGAAGTTCTTAAAAAAACTAACAGGGTATTATCCTCTACTGCATTTGTGCACAGCAGCATAAGCCTTGGTGTATGCACAGAATGAAGGATTGGTACAGGCACCTTTCCTGTTACATGTTCAGTCCTTTGGTATCTAGATATATTTATTTTTCTGTGTTTTCTTTAAAGTTTATTTAGTTACTTAGGAAATTTTAGAGGCTGAAAAACATGTATCTCAGGATAGTAAGTAGATGGATAGATTGCAGCTGGTTGGGAGTTCTGAGGATCTGCATTTTTGCAGTTAGATGTATGGGTGCAGTTTGGTGGCTTTTAGTGTTTAAATCCTGTCGTTTATCCAGTCCAAAGTCAGTTAGCAATAAACAGTAGTTGACTCCAAACTTGACACTTTGCTTAATCATGAGAGGAAAATAACATCCGTTTGTGTTTGTCTGTGTTATTGTAAAGTTGGATCTGCTTGCTTTATGTATCCACTTGTGTTCATGGAAAAAAATGGCCACGTGAATTACAGTTAAACAGTGTCAGATCTCGCTCATATTTCTACCCTCTGCAGGAAGAACTCGGGTCTGATGCACAATGCCAGTGCAGAGCTCTAGTGGCAGGTCTCTGCTACACTGTAAGCACTTTACCAAAAGTTTCACTAGAACTAGTGACAAAGACAGGTTCATAGAAGTGCAAATGTTAAAGGTAATTTTGTTTCCATTCAGACACTGGTGCTTGAAAAGTTATATACTTAAGACCATGTATCAGCTAATTTTCTGTGTTTGTGTTTAGCAGAGTATTCTTACAACAGCTTTACAGACAGCTAGCTAAATGCTGGAATTCTAACGAGTGCAAAAAACAGGCAGAATTACTCAATTACTTAAATTGACTCTAACTGCAAAACAATGACAAAGTTGAAACAGTAATTAAACCCTGAAGTAATACAGCACAGTTTTGATATAACTCACACTGATTAGGAGGAGCTGCTGTGTTTTGTGCTACTCAGCGTCCCATGGTGGTTTTGGCTACAGTAGCAAATTTCAAGATGCAGCTAATATAAGAGTCCTCTTGTTCTGTGTTTTTAGTAGACTCAGTGTCCAGTCTAGAAATCACATTGCATGCAAACTAATCAAGAGAAACAACTTCTCAGCGTAGCAAGTAACAAAGAAAATAAAAGAAAGCTGGTATCCATTTGAAAAAAAAGCAAAAATGTCTTGCCAAATAGTTGAGGAAGATACAAAAGGTAATCATACACCAAGCCTCTCACTAAGATATACAGGTTCTGGCCAGAATTACAGGGGTGGCTGCATCAAAAAAGCTTCTGCCTTAAGATTCTGCACACAAGAATTCAAGGCCGAACATCAAGTTTTACTGCTGAAATCTGTGCACCCAGCTCATGGCAAGGGGTTAACTTTTATTTCTGCCAGGGAATATGATAGCTCTTGCTGCCTTATAGGGCTTAGCTCTTGTCCTCAGATACTCTGCTCAGCATCCATATTCCTGTCAGTTCATGGCACGGGAAGAAGTCCTTTTCCTCACCTAGCTTTATACCAATTTGTCTGATCAGAGATCTGCCAGCTAAGGAATTACTAGTTACTTGCATAACTATACACTGGATATCTTCAGCTCCATGCAAACCTATTGACTGCAACAAGTAATGACCGCTTATCAAAGCGCAATTCATGTTGGAAATTATCTCAGCTGACCACCTAGTCTGGTCTGCTGCTAAAGTTAGTTTAGCAAATCAGGCCAGGATATGCTTCGGTATTTTGTTAGCATTAAAGTGGTTGGTCTCCTTTTTGCACTTGCTACCAGTTTTTTGGGGTTTTTTAAAATCTGTACCTCAGTATGGCCTTCTTGGGCATGCCTTGGTTTCTCAGTAGTCACTGAGCAATTTCTCTGGCTCCAGAAGTTAAAAAAAGTTTATAGTTTGTAGGTCTCATGAACAAAGGCTACAAATAACACAGTTTTGAAAAAAATATGACCTTCATTTTACTAGAGCAATTGACAGTACTACCTGTGTGGCTTGGCTTCAGCCTGACCTGGATTCCACCTGTGTATTTTCATTGACCTTCTATTGATTTGTTGAAATTCAGCTTCACCTGTGTTGCTGATGCCAGTGAGTGGGACTGGTATCTGATGTGGGGTTTTATTTTTTAAGAAAACTCAAAGTCTCCATGCATATGCTTATTTCTTTGGAAGTATAGCCATTCTGGAAACACATTATTTCCACAGACAGGTTTTCATGCTCAGTCTGACCTTCTGAATTAGATACTTTGCAATTAAAGTACCAAGAAGGTGCTGAAGCAGAACGTCATGTTGCTACCAGGTCCTGGAACAACTCCTGTAATCTGGCCATCTTGTACCATCATAGCATGAAGCTGTAGCATTGCTGAGCTTTGTGACTGACAGCAGCCAGAACTGACTCATTTCCATGTAGATCTACAGCTGTTTTTCGTGTGCTTAAAAACAGTTCTCAGTATCATCTCAATGCATTCTGAGTTTAATCCATTGAATAACATTTTCATTTGCTGCCATCCTTCATAAGTGACTGTCCTCTTTACATACCAGGGTCATTGTTCCTTGTCTCTACTTGCAAAGGCAATGACTTTTCTCAAGCTTATGGCAGAGAGTGAAGTTTCATATAAACAGGCAGTTGTTTTATGTGAAGATCTGAAATATTACTGTTACTTAATGGGCTGTGAGAGGTGGTAAAAAAATTGATACTTACATAATTGATCTTCACAAATATTTACAAAACTTGATATTCACACTCTGTTCCACTGGTGTGTCAGCTGTGCATAAAAATCTTACTAATACTGGAAAACTGAGAGTCTTCTCCAACACAACTTTTGGCAGCCTGCAGTGATGAAACTGGAAATCTGGTTTTCTACTGCAGCCATGGTAGAGAAAAAAGTTTTGCTGATGAACCCATGTCAGCCTCTGTGCACCCACAGCTTAGTCACTGATCTTAGAGCAGCTGCTTTACATCAGCCTGGTCTTCTCAGTGTCCGTACCACCTCAGTGACATGAAAAGCTTGTGCACCACAGCAGCAACTGTGAACATTTAAGACATTACTTTCCTTGTTCTTCCAAAAATCAGGTAGCGATGGCTTCCTGTTCACAACCCAGCTGTGGCATCACCAGTTGCTTTATTATTACCCACAGGTAATAATTGATGTGTGATGTCAATGCACCCTTCTGAAATGTTTTCTGCTCGTTAGATAGAATTGTGCCTGCAGTTCAACATCAGTGACCCCTTGGAAATTTCAGTCTGCATGGTGGATAAAGGCAAATGATCATATTCTTCCATTGAGGCAGTTACTGAATTATGCTGGCAGCTCAGAATCAGTGACTTCACTTCTTTTTTGAAATTGCTGTTTAGGAAACCATAGATAACAGGGTTGACACAGGTAGAAGCCATAGCTACCAGGTGGCACAATGAGAAGATCAGGTTGTGGTGGCAAGGCGAAATGATTTTGTAATTCCAGTCCACGATGGTGTTGAAAACATGTAGTGGTAGCCAGCAAACAGCAAAAGCAGCAACCATGGATGCTAGCAAGATGTTTATCCTTCTCAGCTGGACTGCTCGGTTGCTGTACTCACTCTTCTCAAACATGTCCTTTCTCTTCTGCAGGCGTAAGTAGATACGCAGGTAGCAAAGGATAATGAAGAACAGAGGGATGCAGTATTGCAGGAGCAGTAAAGTGGTAGTGTAGATAAGTTTGTGCTGCTCAGAAGGCCAAGAGTTGATACATATTGCCTTATCAGTAGAAAAATTCATGAAGTGTGAGAGCTGCTCATACAACTCATTAGACAAGACGGATGTGGTCAAAAAGGGTAGGGACATGAGACATGCTAAAGTCCAAATCACTCCAATTCCTACGTAGGCTTGGGAGGTATTTGGCCTCCAGCCAGTTGGGTTTATGATGAGCTGGTGTCTTTCCAGAGCAATAAGGACAAGGGAAAGGATTGACACTGTCACAGTTGTGCACTGAGTGAAAGAGGTCATTTTGCACATGACTTCCCCAAATATCCAGTAGTCCATCATGGTGTAAACAACAGTGAAAGGCAGGCAGACAAGACACATAAACAAGTCTGAAATTATTAAGTTGAAAATTAGGATATTGGTGACATTTGCCTTTTCCTTCTGCCTGGCAATGACAGCAATCAGACAGATGTTTCCCACAATGCCCAGAACAGTCTCCAAGCTGTAAGAGGTGGCCAGAAAGACAGTAAGGTCGGTGATGTTCATGCACTGATTGGAAATGTTCATAGGAAAGCTTCTGCTTGAGCTCCAGTTCTTGTTGATCAGGAAATGAAAAACATCATTAACAGCCCTTGTCTTATTCATCTTGAATCCTGAAATATTTATCCAAAAGGGTGGTAGTCAAACACAGTCTGAATCTTCTGGAGCCAGCCTAAAAGCGTTATATCTGTTCTGTCTGGCTGTGGAAGGTTTGGGTATGTCTGCAAAGGAAAGGAAAAGAAAAAATATGTTTAGTTATGCTGCAAGAAATTAGTCAAAAGGGTAAGGAGGGAAACAGGGAAGCAAATGCCAGGGATTTTGTGTATATTCTGCAGCTCCCTCTTACACAGTTTATTAGATCATAAAATGGAGCCCTTTGCTACACTGTGGTATGAAAGTCTGTGCAACTCTATTGAATTATGACTATGTTTATTCATTGTGAGGTTGTCCCATGGATTTAAGAACATCTTAACTTCATTATTTCTCTCAGTGCAGTATCATGAACATCACTAATGCAGTAGAGTGGTGATACAAGAAAACCAGATCAAAACCCACTCAGGGTAAAATTGTGTGCAATTCTGGTTTTGCAAGGTTCTGATCCAAAACTGGGAGGAGGACATTGTGAAGCTGCATTTACCTTTAGCTGTGCTAAATATCAATGTGCAAAGCATGGTATTTTAGGTGCACAAAGCCAACATTAAAATACCTTCTGTGAAATGCATTTGTAATTGCAGCCAGAACTCACATTTGTGCAAGACAATCACCATGCAAAAATGCAGGCTCATTCTCTGGAGGGATATCATGGGAAAATTTGTAAAAAGTCTAAAATAATTCAAAATCATTTCAACATTTTCCAGCTTCTACACAGCTGTGATAGGTCATGGGAACTGCAGTCCAAATTTCTTCCTTCCTCATTCCAGATGAACTCCAGTGCCCACGAAGCATTGATATCTCCCCTAATTGTGACCATGACAGGGTTTATCAGAAATACAGTTCAGTTCCCTGATTTTGGCTTTAAGAGTGAGTGATTTTGATAGTGTCTTTTAATTCCTTCTGGGAAGATTTTAATTGATTCTTCCTCAGCATAATTTTGCCTGGTTTTTTTTTTTGTTTTTTTTTTTTTTAACAAATCTGTTGTAAAAGCATGTTCTATCTGCTAGATAGTGTTCTTGCACAGACAGATAGGTCTGCTTCAAACTCACTGCTGCCAGCCATGAGCTGGGGCTTTCAGTGGGATTCAGGAAGCCAAACCCATGGAGTTAATCGGTGCTGTTTACTTTTGGAAATCTCAGTCACAGGACTGCCTCAACTCTCTCAGATGACTCCTGTGAGCCATAGCAAAAGCTACTTTATAATCCTGACCCTCGAGTCCAAATCCTCTGTGTCCAGGAATCAAAGAAAAAAAAAAATCTGACTCTGCTGGGAATTCTCATCAGGCCAGAGGCAGTTCCGTGCTGTTCAAGCGACTGTAGTATGAAAAGTAAACAAATACTCGTGGAATGACACTATTTAACCACTGCATGACACTTTCCTCAATGATTACATGTCACTCAAGTTTGTAGGATGGTGAAAAATGTCTGAGATTCAGAAAAAAAAACCAGCTGATCATGGAATGAAGACATAAGTAACATGGTATGGTGAGCTTATCACTTCAGTGAGTAGCATTTATTGCTGAACAACTGCATGCCTAGAGATAACCAGTACTGTACAAAAAGCTATCCTATCATTTTATTTGCCTTGTCTTTCCCATTATGAATTTTATTGTTTTCTGGAGATGTTGCCTCTGAGGAACTAAAGAAAGCAATAGTGTGCAGTAAATAAAATGATCCTTTGGGATCATTGTTCTGATTGATCAGCAAAAATAAACGAGTACAGTAAATTCTTTTGTATTTTGCTAGACCTGTTGATTTATCTAACTCTCTCTCTCTTTATCTTTCTGTCATCTATCTGTATCCATCTGAGGCAGTCAAGACAGTCACACAAACAAAACATAGTAGCTCTTTTTTTCTCCGTCTTTCATTTCCTCAGTAGTTTAAATCTTAACTAAAGAGAGGCAAAGAAAATTCTCTAAATTGAGGATATGGGCATGACTCCTTGTGTCCACTCATTTTTGTGTTGTTGCTTAGTCCATGTGAACAGATTGATACACTTTCTGGAAGAAAAAGAAGCAGCAATGGTGGTGTATGGATTCCATGTTGACATATGGGGAGGGTATGGTGGTCTGTTTCAGTGCAAAAATGGATATAGAATGAAAAACCTTCAACCAGCCCCATCGTTTTTAATGATTGCTGGCCAGTGGAGATGCTTCAAGCAAAACAGGATAGGCAGCCTGCAATATTACTTTGTGCCAGTCAGAAGAGATAAGTCCTGGCATTTGGACAGGACAACCAGATTTTGCTGTAAACAAAACATGTGAGCTTTTCACTATGGTCCCAGCCTCATGTCCTTAGCTACAGTATCCTCAACAACAAACACATGGTTCTCTTTTGTTGCTTAAAAAATATGAAAATGTGAGTAGTTATTACAAACATCTGTGTCCACAGAGTAAGCCCTCTCAAGGGTCCCAGACACTTTTGAACATGCTGAAACAACAATGAGAACCAATAATGCTGAAGGGAAAAAAAAAAAGAAAGTGGTGGAGCCACCTGAAAAGCAGAAGCCAGATCCCACAGGTTCATGGAGCACATTTCCAAGAGAAATAGCCAAGACTGAGTGTGGCTGTGTGTTGGTCACTGATGGTAAGTGTGGTGGGGATGAAGAGCATCTCTGAAGGCTCTGCAATGTGTGCTGTTGGGTTAGGAGCTCCCTCTCTTTTGACACCTTGCATTCTGTGGTATCCCCCATCAGATGAATGGCAGACACTTCCTGGGTATTCAGTCTTATGGTGCTGCCCAGAGGTAAATAAGGAATTATCACCCTCTTATCACAGATAAGGGGACTGTGAGAGGGAGATGGGACATGAGTTGTGCAGTGTCTCAAGAGAACCTGTGATGCATTATGAGGTGCTTTAAACCACCTGCCAACCTGATGTCTTGGGAAAAATCAATGCATAGATCACCTATGTCTGTAGTGTTCTTTAACTCTTCCAGCAACCTTAATGTAAAAAGCAGTCCCAGGAAAATAGAAAAATAATTATTGCAGTGATACACTGCAATATACATGATGCATATACACTTAGGCATCCTATTATGGTATCCTTGGGTGGTTCCTCAGGGGTAATCACTCCCAAGTGATGTGTTTGGCTTTCAAGGTGTTTGGTTGCCATTCTTTTAGTTTATTCTAAACCAAGAGCCAGTAAAAAGCAGTGTGTGCATATTCTGTTTAGACATTTGAAACAAAGGTGAGCTAATATAGTGAATCACCAGTGCAGTGGGAACAGGGGTGTTAGTTAGTCCCCTCATTGTATTGAAGGTTTGTTTATTACCCCAGAAAACATACCAATGAGATTATGATCTAAGAAAAAAACAGCTTTTTTCCCCAGAAAGTGAAGCAATATTTACTTGGCTTGTAGGAGTAACAAGTATATCTCCTAAATCTGTTTGTTGAGAGAGAGAGATTTTTTGCTTGTTTTTTGCTCATTTGTCTTTAACAAAGAAAGAGGAATCCTGTTCAGTACTCTTAATGAATATTGGGAAAGAGTTCAGTAACAAAAACTAAGATGTTCATGAGAGTTTCTTCTCTAGTTAATGCAGCATGAGACAGCTTCTCTAAAAAGCAAGCGTCACAAAAGTCTGCAGTAAATTAACAGAATACAGAAGAAAGAAGAGAATAAGCTTTCAGAATTAATCTAAGTTCAGTTCCCTACATACATCTTTTGTAGACATTTATTACTCTTCTATTTGTGTTGGAAGCAAGGAAGAAGAGCAGGCAAAGTTTGAAAGGTTTGTCTTGGTGAATAGCGCAACCTTCTAAAGTAACAAATGTCACTCAGCTTGTCTCAAAAAAAAATAAACCAAATTATCACTTGTCAGCTTAAAAGTCTTGCCCCAGGGCATTATCCTGTATTTCCCAGAAAAATTCCTCAAAGAAAAGGGAATTCTGCCGAAATGAGTCAGGGAAGAAAACAAAACCCTCAGTGGGTTTCAAGGAGACTGCTAGACCATAAGTGGCTTCAGGCAGTTAATGCATGTGTGCTCTTTTGAGAGACCTCTGGACTCAAAGACATCCTATGAAAACCCCTATAAAAGCTTTTCCTGGAGGCAGGATAAAGCAGGGGACTGCTATAGTTGCTGGGCTCTATGTGCCCACTGGAAAAGGGTGGGTCATTTTCACAAAGCTGATCATGATCACCCACTGCCTGTAATCAAATAACAGTCCCAATAGTTGTGATGGACAGTGGAAGCCAATTTCCACATCAGACATTAGTCAAAGAAAAAACCATGTTTGCAGTGTCTGGATTCATTATCTGGTACTTAGAAGCACTTGCTTATCTGCCCCAGAGCCTTACTAGTTGTTCAGACAACTGGCTGTCAGTCCATAAGACTGACATTCTGAGAGAAGCAATTCCTAAAGACATGAAGTGATTGTATCACTTATTTAAAGAGTTACAGCAGTTACTGGGAGTAAAGCTGCCTGTTGTCTGTTAGGAAAAAATAAAAAAGGAGCAATGGAAAGGTTCAACAGAATGCCAGAATTTATATTACAGATATTAATTGAGGTAGTGGGGACTGACTGACAGTGGTATCCCCTTTTGGCTGCCAATAACATCATCCCAGTAAAGCAGATTTGGCCTGTTTAGCCTTACATACTAAAGAAAAGTTAAAAATCACTTTACAGCTTCCCAGGAAAGCAACACTTAACTAGAAGAGAAAACATGTCACTGAGTTTGCACAGACCTCCCACAACAGTGTTTAATCCATAAGGGATCCAGTACAGTGAAAGTTAATGATGGACTCTTCACCTCTTTTTTAGCTTTGTATTGCAAAAATATTGGGAGAAACTATCTTAGGTCATTGAAAAAGCTATATAGGATAAAAATTTCTAGAACCTGCATAATTAGGGTATAGAAAAACTTGTGTATATTAACATGTTACAAGTCTGTAACATAAGGGGTGGCATAAATATCAAAGAAAGGGAATTCTTTCTCTCCCTCTCACATCTGCATGTTTTCTGAGGGAAACCTTTTGGAGCTTATTAAATTCTGCTATGAGTTTATCTTCTCTGATCCTGTAGAAAGCAGGGAAATTTTACAAAAGCATTTAGCCCAACTTTTTATTTTCTGGTTAAATTCATAACAACCTTACCAAAGATATGGAGCCAGCTCACAAAGGTAAAATGTGAATAGTAAATCAGCAGACTGGAGAATGGTAGTTAGTCCCTGGTTTCTTAAGATTAATGGCCTTTGTGACATGTTTGCTACCCAAGAGAAAAAAAAATACATTTTTGCAAAAGTGATCTTTACCAAAGGAAATGGTGAATCTGTAAAACTTTGCAATGGGCACCTTAGCAGACAGTCAGTCAGGATATCTGGAGAGTGATGCGTTGTATCCCGTCTGAAGCTGCATTGATTGTGTGAGGACCAAGAAATCTCAGGGACTAGGAGATAAGAAGTGTTTTCCAGCGACCAGAGGCACCCAGGAAGGTTCTTTCTGTCACACCACAGGGTGGCAAGGAGCACACTGAACTGCAAAAGCCCCCAAGAAGCTGCCATCTCCCTCTTGCACCCCAAAAGGTTGCAAAGCTTTGCTCAGTAGATACAAGAGTTGGGCCTTTCATGACAAGTCAAACAGTCTTCATTAATCAAACACAGTCACCTGGTTTTTTAACAATAACAGATGATAACTTTAATAAAGAGATGTGAGCTCTTGACAATCTGAAATAGATAATTTAGAAAATTCTTACCAGTTACTGATGGAGAGACTCGCTGCTGTTGGTGGCATCTCTGTTCTGGAAGAAAGCAGAAATGTTGTAGAGTGAAGTAAGACCTTTTGTGTCCTTGCAATCCGGGAGAGAAGCTGTGCTGGTTGTTTCTGTAGGTAATTTGGATGGCATCTCTCTCCCTCTCCCCCTCTCTATCCCGCCCTCTTTCCTTCCCTCCCTTCAACTTAGCCAATGAATTCTGCCTTATGATTATGGTCTGACTTTGAAGTTCTGGCTCCCTCTGCTGTTGTATAAATATACAAATTCTAGGGATACTTGGGAGGAATAACAACTTCAGAAAAGAGCTGTGAAGTATCTGAAGCACAGCATGCCCCCATGCTGCATGAGTGTGATATCAAGAGAAAACAGGGAGACAAAATACAGACATAGAACCTAATCCTGTTCTCCTTGCTGAGGCAAGATTTCTATTGGGCTTCAAAGAGAATTTTGCCTCATACTTAGGAGGCCAGTACCAGTTTTCTCAGATTTTCCATTCCATCACAGACAGATGTTGAAATATTATTTTAGAAGGGTGCACGCTAAAGTCCTTAGATTGTGAATGGGGATAAGACACACTGTTACACAGGAAAAAAACTCAGAAATAAAAGAGCACTGAGAAAGGTGGAAATAAAGTGGGGAAAGGGGTTTGCAGAAGTGCCAGATTTCTGTGATTTTTTTCTCCAGGTCTTTCTCATCAAAAACCAAGGTAGAAATCAGAGTTGCAAAATTTTCTCTTGCACTGGGAAAATGCACAAACAGAATGTTTCCAACAACTATACCAGAATAACCTAATTTTGGTCTTTATATAAAAATGGTTTTAAGCTATGATCAGCTACATAATCAGTCCAGTCCATAATGCTGTCCTGGAGCCTTTCTTAAGTTGTGATAAGCAGTGGTAGCAAAAAGGTATTTTTATTTGCAGACATGTAGTATGTTAACAAAAATAAAGTGTTTCAATATCAAAATAAGTGCAAGCTCATGTGAACTAAACTAAAAGTGAAAACAGTTTTTCATTTATACTGTACTTTTTCTTTCATTTTTTCTGGTAACTGCTATTACAGATGTGATTATCTACTTCAAAAGCTTAGCAGACAGCATTCATCATTAGAGAAATAAGCAAAGCAGAAGTAGGGATATAGGGCATTTTGGCATTTCTCATGTCTTATGGTGCAGAGAAGCATAGAACTGGAATATACATAATGAACGGTGTAAGCTGGACAGTTTTCCACAGTTAATGATTTTTAAATTAGGGGTTGCTTGAGCTGCTTCTTATTTTGTGTTACTTTTTTTTTTTTTTTCCAGCCTCCTTTTCAGAGGCTTTATTTACCAACTGGTTTGAACCAGCACCCCATATCCCAACATTTCCCCTTCACCCAGGCACCCAGAAGGAGACGAGCTTTCTGATCTGGTGATGGAAAAGGACATGCAGGCTATGCTCGGCATGAGAAAGCACCAGCCCACACAGATCTTGAGCTTCTGGCCAGCTTTGCAGGAAGTAGAAGATTCTTCCTATTTTACTGGAGACAGAGAAGCTGAAATTATTTATTTGGCTGGCTTGTACCCTTCTGTTTCTTTCTTAATTTATTTATCGTATGTTTATTTGTACTGCTGTTCAAAGCATTAAAGAAAGGGGAGGAAAACCATTAGGAAACAGACAGGCGTTTTCCTGAGGGATATTTGGATTTGTGAAGCAGTTCTTCTGTTCCCCTCAGCTGCAGCATTCCTTAGCCAGCCTTGCCTCCACACCTTCCAAACATTTAAAGATATATTGCACCACTTTTATTCTCTCAATTCAGAGAGAATATTGGGCAGAGCTTGCAAGCTAGCAAATAAACATCTGATCTCTTCTTAAAGTCAGTAGAGAACGGCTGTATCACAGTTCCTGAAACACTGCTCAGGGCTCTGCTGCTCAGGGCTCTGCTGCCCAGGGATCAGGAAATGACTTAGCCACCAGTACCTTGCTATGTCATCTGGGACCTAACAGATTTTTGGGATGAACTTCTCTAGCCAGGACCTGGCCATTTTGGTGAGGTGAATGGGGCTGCACTAGTGTCCTGTTACACACATGTTCTTTCCACATTGTATCCAAACTGCAGGATGAAAATGCTCACTATTTGTAAGCTGATGTGGAATCAGCACTTGGGTCATTCCAACCCTGCAGACATTCGTGGATCTGGGACTTACATGCATCAGCAGCCACTGAGCGCAAGCCAAGAGGTGCAGAGGGGCTGGAGCTGCCAAGCAGCAGCTGTCCAGACTGCAGCATAGAGGGGACAATACTGCAGTTTCCCTGGAGTGAGAATAGCAGCAGCAAGACAAAGATGCCAGTGCAAATATCCTCAGTGGGTCTGGGTTCAGCACCTTGCTAAAAGGGTTCTGGTACTTGAGCTGGCTGGTTTGTGTCTGGTCCTGGTTCACTTCCCAGTGGGAACTACTGAACAATAGTCTGGACAGAGTCTCTGTGAGGATCCCAGAGACTTGAGAAATGAACAAGAATATTTGTATGAGGGTGCATAATAATGGAAATTCCACATTGAGAAGCAGTGTGGAAGTACTGTAGTCCCAACTATTGCTAGTTAAGTGCTGTCAATGGACCAGTCCCATTTGTTTTTGATAGGGGATGGGGTAAAGAAACTATAGCTGGCATGGCATAGGGCTGCTCTAGTTCCCAGAGAGCAATAAGAAGCCTTGTTCCCATTCTCCACCCACAGCACGTGCTCCTGTTGTGAGAAGGCACTGGAGAATTGTCCTGCTTGCTCTGCAGCTGGTTACAAAAACAGCTGGACTCCATGTAGACAACACCTTTCAAGGGGCTACAGGTGCATGAAGAAATAGTCCTCTCTTCTCTGGCCAAATAACTCCTTCCTGCAAGTGGTTGTGGTGACAGCAAGGCCTCTACCAACCAACACTGGGTGTAATTGAGCATTTCCCTGCAGTGACAGGATTGCCACAGCAGTGGGATTAGAGCTGCACTCTGGATGCTTTGAGGGTCTCCTCAGCATTCCTGTGTCAGATCTCCAGCCATATCAGCCTTCCTTGATGGAGCCCTGATACTCTGTCTCCTTCTTTCCTCTGAGCATGAAATTTCAGAGGCCAATTCTGCTACAGTACATTTAGCAAATCTAATTGTGTTCTAGCATCTGGAGTCCTGCTCTCTCTGGCACTGCTAAACAGTGAGCAAACAATATCCATAAAGAATAGTACTAGGCACTTGATGACAAAAGCATGTGGAGAAAATGTACCGTGGAACAGTCCAGGTGTCCAGGTGTATGCTAAATTTATCAGGGCTACATGGCATCTTTGTAGATATTTCACAGAAGTTTGGTTTGGCTTCATTTTGTGAGAATCTCTACCTCTTTCTGAAGCAGAATTGCTATTTAAACCATTATCAGCCATCCTCAATTTATTAACAACCTTCATTTCATGGGGGGAGCTATGAATCTGATCTATCTTCACAGGAATTTTTCTGAACTGCTTAAATAATGTTCAGAAAAGTAGGCCTGTTACTCAGGGGTCCCTAGACAGGCCCTTATAAATGAATCTGGCATTTAGGAAGCAGATAGCATAACCTCTTTAACCTCTTGTATCCACACCTACCTCTATAAGCATAGATACACACACACACACACACACACACATATATATATATATATATACCTCTTGTATATATATCTGTATCCACACCTACCTCCATAAGCATAGATACACACACACACACACACACACATATATATATATATATATAACTGAATTAATCCTCTGATTCATCCTCCTCAAGTAGAGAAGTGAGGGCCCCTCTGATGTCTGTTCCTCCCAGACTGGTCATAGCTCATAGCCAGGTGCAGGGATATCCATGGCATTGGTCCCAAGAAGACACAGGGGAATATCATCATGCTTCTTGTTTTAACTTACCCTGAACCCCCAAAAATTCCAGAAGATAAATTTTGTTTCTCATTTTATCTGCTTTCTGGAATCTCCTTATTGATAGGGTTTTTCTGATAGCTGGTAAACTGTTTTCCTTATTATGTGCAGGTTTTCTGCTTGTATGTTCTCAGCACCACACTTTAAATAGACCATGTTATTGTGGTTTTTTACAGCAGATATTGAAAGAAGTTGTTGTTTGCATCAGATGAAATATTTAATTGTAATACACTTCAGGAAGGTAGAGGAAAGGCAGATGAGTAAAAGCACTATGACGTCAGTGTTGAATAAACTGAACACACTCAAATTATTTGTCTGGCCCTTTTAAGCTGTACAGCACTCTTTTTATAATTGCTCTTAATATTGTATAAATAGATTTTATAGGATATTTCTCATATTAACTACTTTTATGGACTTTGCACTAGGCACAGTGTAGTGCCTGAAGTCTACAGGCTAAACATGATTTATAGTCTAGGTTTCCTATAAAAACAGCTTTCATGCAGTTGTTTGTCAGTGGACTTTGATCGAAACAAGATTATTGCAGGAAATTCTACCCTGGTATGGAAGGCTACAGAGCTATTTATATGGCACTTCTTTGCAGTATGTTGGACTCTCGGGCATGGGATTGCCATTTTTGTAATGTACCAGTCATCTCCTGGAGAATATGTTCCTTGTGCATCTGCATTAATGGATTGACCTACACAAGGCACCAAGGGGAGGGGAGGCTTTCAAGGGGCTGTTTTTCTGGTTTGTTTCATCCCATTCTTCTAGTACACATGTCACTGGGGGAATGTCAATAAGTGTAATAGCATAATGAGTCTGTGTGTCTGGCAATAACTTATATAATACCTGTTACTTTAAAAGCCAGATGATTTCCAAATCCATAATTAGATTTACAAACATTTATAGACACCATGAATTCTTCTGTTTTCAAGGAGACCACTCAGTGACTACAGTGATTTGATGTATGTGAAAATGTATTTAATTCTGGATCCCAACAGGAAAAAAGCCTGTGATAAAATTTGGTTACAAATGTGTGTAAGACAAACCACCTAGTCAGAAATGAGATAGATATGGCACAATTAGAGCTGTGAAAGACACGAAGCAAACTCATTTCTCTTGAAGCCATGCTGCTTGCTGCTTTCCTCTAAAGGAGAG